TGCTTGATGTCTATTTTTGAAATAAAAACGTGCGTAGTCTATTTTTGAAAAGATATTAGAAAAGTGTAAAAAGTGATTTTTTTTTTTGTTTTTTGTCTATTTGGGATAAATTCCCAACTTGTTGAGGAATGGAAGGGCCAAGATTTGGATGGGCTGGGTTGAATTTTGATCGTTCTAATCCATACTTTTCCCGTTTAGCATTGAGTAAATTCCCTTAAAAAGTTTTGAAATTTCAAAATAGGAGTATCATGTTTCTTAAATTTCTGCCAAGTTTGACATTACTAGGCTATTAAACATGACATTTTTTCCAAACTCGGCAGATTACTCCTATTCAAGGAATAAAAAACATGATACTCCTATTTTGAAATTTAAGAGCGTTTTTACTTCTAATTAGGGCAATTTCTATTTAGAGAGCATTTATAGGAGTATAGTAGTCTTCACTCCCTCCAAATAGGTTTGTCACTTTTTTGTCAATGATAATCGAGTTTGATCAATACTATTTTTTACAAATTATTTTGAGTATGAAAATTGTATTGAATTTTTTATTTAAATTATTTTCATAAAAGTATAAAATTTATAAATTATGTACAAATATAATAATTAAAACCAGTGTTCAATTTATCACTATTGATCAAGCAAAGTCAATATGAAAAACATTTTCGTGACGGAGGCATTATCATTACCATTACCATTACCATTACCGATAAATCATTTGATGGCTGAACATAATGTTAGACTAAATATCCTTACCTTCGTGAAATTAATGTATATGTAATGAGGAAAAATCTAAAATGTGGTATGATTGTGTCTTTTGGCTTGGTAGATTATCAATATTTAATTCACTTTCTATATTCACATTTAGATAAACTATAATGACGACATAGTTCATATTTGGCGGGCATAAGTTCATGCCTTCTAGCTTTTGTACTTTAAAAAGTCTTTAAAAGTTTCTAGTTGTACCTTTGACACACCAATTTTTAAGAGCTTTTATAAAATAAAAGATCTTTTTTGAGATGCTATAGTGATGAAAACCCACCCCCTATTTTACTAAGGTTGGAAAGAATGCGCACTCTAGGTCGTCATTTCCTAACAGTTTGTATACCAAACAGAGCTAAATCAAACAGTCGGGGTTTTTTTACCAAACAACTATTTTCTTTTCTTTTTAAGATCTTTTCAGTCATTAAAAGTAACTTTGTATATTAGCATTTAGGTGAACTATAAGGACGTCACAGTTCATATATTAGTGTTTATTTGATTTGGTTTTAATCAAACATTTAAGGCTTGATGCCTTTTAGTAATAAATTATGATTTTTTTGTAGGTTGATATTGAAGATCGTTTACCCGGGGAAAAAATCTACCCTTTTGTTAGTTTTGAAATTTGTTGCTTGCTTTTCCTTAAATGAGTGATTTTTCTAATATTAGGAATTTATAGAAAGGTATATTTAAAAAAATTGCTGAAATCATAAGAAAATGAGTGATTTTTCTAATATTTCATCATAATTAGAAAAATTGAAATGAGTGATTTTTCTAATATTTCATCATAATTATTTTACAAGACCTACAATTTCATCTCATATTTGCTGAAAACTTTTTATTGTCAAGGGAATTTCAAAAGAAAAAATCGATGCACTCATGTAGTCATGCACACTGTGATTACAATTAAATTTTAGCAACAAAAGGAAAGAAGAATTAACACTACGATTACTTACAACATATGTTGCTCTCAAGATAGCGGAGTCACTTTGACATGGGGATTATTTTGAAATATGTTTTTACTTGGACTGTAATTTGCTGGTCTGGTCTGGTCTGGTCTGGTTTCTTTGTATTTTTATAATTATCTAAGTCTGGTCTGGTCTGGTCTGGTCTGGTCTGATCTGGTCTGGTCTGGTCTGGTCTGGTCCGGGAGGAATTACAGTCCAAGTAAAAACATCCTAAATGACTAGGAGAGTAAGGATGTTTTTACTTGGACTGTCATTCCTCCCAGACCAGACCAGACCAGACCAGACTAGATCAGACTTGGATAGTTATAAAAATACAAAGAAACCAGATCAGACCAGACCAGACCAGATCAGACCAGACCAGACCAGTAAATTACAGTCCAAGTAAAATCATCCTAAACCTAGAGAGGCATAGATGTCAAATAACAATATTGGTGTGATGAAATCAACTATTGAAATTTTAGATGAAATCAACGACTATTTAATTCTCACTCAAATGATTTTTGAATATTCATATTTACATACACAACAAAAACTAAATCGAAATAATTATTTAAATTAAATATACTAATATTTTATTACCGTAGGTAAAGAAAGAGAATATCGAAAATCATAATTTTATCATAAGTTGGATATAGTTGAAACAGAAGATTTGGAGCATGAACACCCGACTCTCTAAATTACTTAAGAACATGGCCTCCAAATTTCAGGATAAGACTCAAGGTTGGAACTCTAACAATGTTATTAAGAAATATAGATCAATCTCAAAAACTATGTAAGAACTATCCCAATTTTTTAAAATTAATTTGTTTTTCTAATTAATTAGATCATGATAACAAGTGTATCCATCGATTATTTCCCGTGCGTATGCACGGATACTGTACTAGTAATAGTGGAAATTAAATAAATGAAGAACACATTAGTTTTACGGGGAAATCCCAAGTTAAAATCACTAGACTTTTTGAGCTAATTCAAGTCAACCCTTGTCTATTCATCTCCTCATCATTTACATGTACAAGTTATAAGCTTTCCATAGTCATTAATGGATCTCCAAAGCTTTTTTTAGAGGTTGCTAGTACAGGCTTTTAATTTCTACCCAAATGGGCCTTAAAATGAGCTAACACATTAGGTTTACATAAATTTAATGGGCTGAGAGTAGTATTTGTGACATTTAAAAGGTTAATATGTTGATTTCCGTCAACGATACTGATATGATTTTTTTCAAAAAATTAATAGAGTAGAATTTATTTACAAAAATATATATGCTCAAAGTTATTATAATCATAGTCATGTTAGGGTCACTTGAAGGTAAAAATTTATATAAATCACTATGATTAAAGTTACGATTATAGTCAAGGTAACACTAAGTATTGTAAACAAACTTTATTTTTATCATAAATATTTAATTATTTCTATTGATATATACTGACATTGTAGCATGATCTTACAAAGAAAACCCATTAAATTAATCAGAAAATCCATAATAAGAATGGCCATTTCCGCCAACAATCGCATCAAAATATAAAAGGGAAAAAAATAAATAAAACCCAACATTAATGAAACATTAAATAATACGTATACGCAATAATAATTAGGAAAATTCTACGGTGCACTCCTAAATTTTGAGTGCAACGGTACACACCTTTTCTTATCCAGTCACATTTTAGTATTGTGCTACTAAATATGATTAACGACTTGTAATGATGATTGAGTTATTAGCCTAAATATGATTGAATTGTTTCTTTAATAGGACTTTTATACCATATTTGTCCTTCCTAATATAAATAAGGTTTAAATATTTTTTAGTCTCTTCAAATATAGTATCCCTGCAAAATTATTTTTTTTGTTTTTCATTTCTAAAATGTATGTTAGTTTTTCTTTTAGTCTACCTAATGATGGAATTTAATACGTATTTTAAAAATGTGAGTAATTAGTTTTTATTTTTTTAACTATCATCTTTTCCTCAAAAAATTTATAGGGATGATTTTTTAAGTGATATACTAAAAACCAAATAATGCATAATACAAGAATGAAAAACATAAAAAAAATATTTTGCAAGGACTTAAATCATATTTAAACCTGTAAACAATTGCCCCCTAGTTCCCTATACCGGTGATCCGGATCCGCGGCGTCGGCATCAGTGTAGGCCAAATCTTTAGCGGTAGAGGCCGGATCTTTAGCGCCGGCGGCCGACGTGGCCACATCTGGTCAGATGTACAGTGGTGGTTCATTGCAAGATGTGCAATGTCGGTGGTCAGATCGGTGACGCCCAGATCTGACCAGATGTACGAAGACGGCGGCCAAATGTGTAGCGCCGACTGCCAACGGTCAACAGCGATGTTCGGCCGCATTAAGTTTTGTCAAGCTTCAAGAGCTGAGGTACTTTTGTACTCCTGTCCAACTACAAATAATAATTCCTATTTTGAATACTTTTAAACTTTGCACATACTTTGACAATTAAATATTTATTTATTTCTATTTAAATAAATCTCCTTTGACGATTTTGTTCAGTTTAATCTTTTTTTCTAAGCCGGTGAAGGATCCAAATGTAAAAATGGCAAATTATTATGTTTAGTTAATGAGGATATTAGGTGGCATAAGATTAAGATATAATGGGATGGGTGGTTAAAGAGGATGATGGGTGGTTAAAAAGGATGTGTACCAAAACACACCAAATTAAGGAGTGCACCCTAGAAGCACCCTAATAATTATGTAAACATTTTGTTTAGCACGGAAATTGAAATCCGATATTTCCATTTAGGACTGTTTGCGATTACTTGTGCTTTAAAAAAGTGACTTTTAGAAGTGATTTTGGAGAAAATGCTTAATAGTAAAAGTTGATAGTGTTTGAAAAAAACTGATTTTGAAAAGTAAAAGTTGGTAGGTTTTAGTTAAATATGTGCTTTTTGTGTAACAGAAAAAGTAAAAAACAGTTCCCAACTTTTAGCTTTTAAATGTTTAATTTAAGTAGAAGTTATAACTTGAAAACACTCATTTCATCTTTTTAAGTCAAAACCCGAATATCACATTTTTTAATTGTTTGCAAACATACCCTTAGGTAACGTCGAAACATGCAGGGGTGTAGCTAGGGGTGGCAACCATGGCCCCGGCCCAGCCCAAATTTTAAAAATGTCCAAATTTTTAGTGTAAAAAATTTCGATTTTTTCGAAAAATATTCTTTGTACCGTCCCAGTCCGGCCCAGTGTCCTGACTTGCCCCCGGAAACATGAACTTCAATTCAGAGAGTCATTTCTTATTCTTCGTAGAATAAAAATGAAGGCAATGACATAAACAAGAAACACCGAAAATGCAATAAGCACAACAGTATATGCGGTTCTCAATTTGTTCCTGATTTTGGCTAAGAATCCTGCTTTGCAAGAATCACAGTAGAAGCAAAGTTTGGTTTGATCATTGTTCCACGTGAGACACTGAGTGTCTAAAATTGTGGTTTGATTGCTTGTTGATGTTGCTGCTGTCCAATATGTTGGGCTCACAAAAGTAAAGCCACACTTTGTAGGTGGCATACAACATCCAACCTGTCAAAAGCCCGCCGCCAAAACCACATGATTAAAAATAATAGAAATTGCTCTAAATAGGAGCAAAAATGTTTTGAATAACATATATTTTGATCAAAGTTATTATTATAGTCACTGTGTTTATGAGGTAAAAGTTTATTTTATTATGTGTATTTTATTGTTGTCTAAGTCAGGTTTGATTAAATATAGCCTCTTTAATTCAATCTCAACTATTTAGGTTTGGTTTGGTCTGATCTGAGACTGAAAACGATCCAATAAAAAAATCCTAAATCTAATGTGAATTGGTATAGTAAGGTCTGATAGAAATGTCCTAAAATTGCAAAATCCATTAGTTAATGAATCATATTTATAAGTGAATAAAGTTACTCGTATAAGACTAATACGGAGTAACAGACATAACCAAAAAGTACCGGACTAAAATTGCAAATAAATCCTGTAACTATTATTCAAGTCTATTTTGATTGATTTCCGTTTAGTGTGAATTGGTTAAATAAGTCTTTTCTGGTTCGGCTTGAGACTAAAATGTATAGATCGATCCAAATTAAATGTTACTCGTAGTACTTTACTACTTTATACTCAATTTTATTGTACTTAATAATTGTTCCAATTTCTTTTTCGAAAGTACTTTTAAAAACTATTAATTTGGAAACTTAATTTTGCTCCTACTTTTATTCTCCATTAAAATAAATAAATACTACTTGGTATTACTTTTTCAATTCTCAAAACCATATTTTGAGGAATTTATAATACTCCTTCCATCCCTCTGTTATTGTCTCATTACGGTTTACGATGCTTGACCGACGATAAAGGAAACAGATCCCTGTCTGCACTCAAATTTTTTTTAGGAAAAAATTACATATTCAGAAACTACATTAAAAGATTTACAAAGTCGCAAAAACCAGAATCAAATTTGATAAAAATTTGATACATAAAGTAAGAGATTAAGAGTGATTTGTATTGATCAAGTGAATAAGAAATGTGACAATAATAGGGGGACGGAGGGAGTAATAAAGATGCCAGATTGCTAGATTGGGTTAGGTCGTATGAGGAATTTAATAAAGAGAAATGCATCTATATATAATTAAAGCATTTAACATATGATTAACAAATTTAAGTGGACCTTAATATGAGTCATAACTAAATTGAAGTGAGGAATTTTCTCTTTAATCAGTTACTCCCTCCACCCCTGTATAAAAGTATCCATTTGTTTTCCACACATTTTAAGAAAGTGGGATTGCCTGGTACTGTTTGGCACTGTTTGGACACTGTTTGACACTGTTTGGCACTGTTTTATTTGCCAAAAAAGGAAAGAGAACTTTTATTTAGGGACGACCACAAAACATATGCTTCTATTATTACCTGTGTAAGGGGGTGAGATGCGCTGCGAAGTCATTGAAGTCAAAAGTGGCATTGAAGTCAACGCAGGAACCAGAAGGAGCCACACAGTTCAGGACGGAGTAATCCCACCGGCTAACCGTCTTCCGAAGCGAGGCGGAGAAGCGGTCGTAACGGTATTCCTCGTAAGCCCTGTTTGGCACCGGCTCGGGGGAGCCCGATTTTCCGGTGAGCTTGGACATCTCAAGGACAACAAAGACCAGGAACATTAAAACAAAAAACGCGGCGAAGAACTGAATTACAGATACCCAAAAGAGGACGTCGTCGTCCTGGAAATACATTGCTACGAAGGCCAATGCGCCGCATAGCAGCATCACAACCCCGCATGTGACCAGCATGGTCTGGAGGGATTTGAAGTCGGCGCAAGAGTTGCCTAAAAGAACGTCCACTGCTAAGATGGGGATGGAGAGGAAGAAGGGTATGGTTAGTGCTGCATATAATATTTTACAGATTCGAATCCTCCCATTCTCTGCCATTATTGTTTGGTTTTCCAGTGTATAATAAATAAAATAATATAATACAGAAGTACTTTGGTTTACTTTGGAGAATTTTTATCGTTGGATGGAGGTTTATTTATACGTGCATTATACATAGACAACTAGAGGGTTTTGGCATAAAATATTATCCTTATTTAAACAAATTATCTGCTTACACAGATAATTATTAGGAGAGTTTGTATACACTTTGTGTACGACTCATGTCTTATTTATATACTCTTAGTTCTATGTTTCATACACATTTTCCCGTATCTCAGTCATATGAATTGAAGCAGCAGTCTACTTTTGGAATATTTAGTCGATCAACTTTAACTTGATTTATGCGTGGCTTTGACTCGGTGGCTGTGACACCGGCCTTCTCTTTAGCCATGTCACTTGTGACGTCCTAATCCTTTAACTTCATCTTTTAAATTGGCATGAATACTCTATACTTTTATGCATTTTATAAAAGTAATCCTTCTTTGAAAAGATGACAACAATAATCTCAACTGGTTAATGCTTTTTCAATCATATTATTAGGACAGGGTCGGCCCTGGTGGTGTGCAGGGTGTCCAACCGCACAGGGCCCAAAAAATTGGTAGGGCCCAATTTTTTTTGTAGCAGTATACTACTACTTCCGCCCCGCTATGATTGTCCCATTTTACCTTATCGGTTCATCCCATTAAGATTATCTCATACCAAATTTGGTAAAGTTTGTGTGACTCTAAATCATTCTTACTTTATCAACTCAATATCAACCACATAAACCACTTTTTATTAATTTGCGTGTTACTCCCTCTTGTCCCAATGTTAACGGGACGGAGGGAGTATTATTACTTAGGTGGACTAGGGCAAGGCTTTGAAGCAAGCATGGTTCGTCACTTCGTGTATTCCTCATCTGCAAAGGAGGAGCGTGTATATAGGAACGAAGGAGTAGTAAATTCCTCATTTCCACCGGTGTGAGAATCTTAAGCTTTAGAAACAAAAAAGAAAAGAAGCGAGGCACGCGGGATTTGAACCCAAGTGAAAATAAAAGCATGCACGTTGATTTCTAAACATCAACCACCGGACCAAATCAACTAATTGTTGAAATACGGACGTACAAGTTTTATATTACCTATTTGTTCTACAAAATAAATAATTAAAATACCTCTTAATAAAAATTGGTTCGGTTCGGTTTGAACCGATTTTATAACTAAAAAAACCTTTATTAAACTGATTTATGTTCGAGTCCCGACTTTCGGGTGTCGTTTGAGTCGGTGCGGTTTCGGTTAGGTTTTTTTAACTTGTGTTGAAACTTTGAAAAGAAGGCCCAATTATTATTTTTGCACATGACCTTCATTTCCTCAGGACCGGCCCTGTATTAGGACAAGTGATTTCAAATTGTTAAATTAAAATTGTTCTTGAAGATGGTTGATATTGAATATATATAACACAAGGGGTTTAATTTTCCGCATTTATACATAACGAACGGGTTTAGTGCATTAAACCCTGTCTGCAGTTTCTTTCATTCTTATAATTAGTAGAATAAAAATGATGGTAAACAAATAAACAACATACACCAGAAATGCAATAAGGATAACGGTATATGCTGTTCTCAATTTCTTCCTAATGTTGGCTAGAAATCCCGCTTTGCAAGAATCATAATAGAAGCAAAGCTGGAATTAGTCATTGTTTCACCTGGCACACTCAGCATCTAAAGTTAGTTGTGGTTCTATTGCTGTTATTCAATATGTTGGGCTCACAAAATTAATTACTACATTTCCTTACGTAGGATGAATCGAATGATATACTTACATAAATAAACTTTAACGCTATAAACACATGTTGATTTGTATTCAAATTTCTGCTAGTGCAATGAAGCATGAATTAATGTCCTCTTTTATTATAAATGAAGAGTTAGTTTGATAACACCTATTTTCAACTTACCAGTGTTATTAGACAACTTTTTTACAATATAAATAATGTTTTATTTTGCGCGCTGAATTGTATAATAATCAAAATAAATATGGTTAATGTTATCTTTCTAGTTGAATTGGCAGAAATTACTGCAGATGATAGTTTTAGTCATTCTTCATATAACTTTCCTTTAATCTAGTAATGAAACATATTTTATTTCCCCCCCATAATTCAACATATTCGTCCGTTGATTCATCAATTTCATTAAACAATTTCAGCTGATTCAACTAATGTTAGTATGAACAATTAATCAATTAGATAATAAAGAAGCTAGATAATTATTTAGTATGAGAAATTTAATTAATTACCTGTAAGCGGGTGAGACGTGCAGCGATTAATTGTTGAGGGGAGGAGTAAAAAGTAGCATTGAAGTCAACGCAAGAGCTGGAAGTTTAGGACGGAGTAATCCCACTTGATAACCGTCTTACGAAGCAAGGCAGAGAAGGGGTCGAAACGGTATTCCTGGTAAGCCTTGTTTGGCAGCAGTGTGGGGGAGCTAGCTGATTTCCCGCTCAGCTTGAACAACTGAATAATAACAATGAGCAGGAATATTGAGACACCAAACATAGTGAGGCCGTGCAATACAGATAGCCAAACGAGGAAGAAGTACTTCTGTACTCTCAACCAAACACTCAATTATACGAGTATGTTTTAATTCTAAAAAGATCAGAGACAATTTTAAGTAGATCCAAACACATACATAGCTAATAAGTCATTATTATTATCAGGTTAGGAGTTTGGGACACAAACATATACTCCGTATATGAACTTAGAAGCAAATGGAGCTAAGGTAAATATATACTTCGTATAAGTGATCGATCGATACTCCTAGAGCATCTCCATTAATGCTAAGGTGCATTGGAGATGATGTGCAACACAATGGAAAAAGTCCATTTGATGTATGGACCAATTTTCATAAAAGTGATAGGGTCCATTCAAATTGTGCTCCAATGCAAGAAAAAAGTTAAAGTGAGTGCTCTCTCATCCAAGCCTCCAAGGTGAGACCCAAAGTCCATATATTGACCTCATGCTAGACCTTGTCCCTCTTTTGTGATTGCCAACTAAGCATGACTAGGTTCATTTTTTTACATTGAAAACTACATTTGTAAACGAAGAGTGCATTGGCTTATGTGGAATAGCAATCCATCTCCACATTGAAGATGCCCTTAATAAGTTAATAATTGTGTGTATCACTCAAAATTTTAGAATGAAGTAAATGTTTCCGAATCTAAGTCATGAAGCAATCTTATTTTGGATGAATTGAAGAAGCTAAAGTAATCACCATCTTTTGGAATATTTGATTCACTTTAACTTCATTTATGCAACGCTTTAATTTAAGAGCCCGTCTGGTAATATCCGAATCAGCTGCATGGGCTGATTCTGTTGAAATTTATGAAGTTCTGGCTGAAGTAGATGGATTGGCTGATCTGTTGATTTATGAAAAAGTTATATTTAAAATATACTCCCTCCGTCTCTTAAAAATTTGTCAACTTTCTTTTTTTGGATATCTCACTAACTTTGCCACTTTCTCTTTTAAGTAAAGAATGTTGGGTGTGTTTCGGAAAATAAAGGAAATTAATTAAATAAACAGACTAGAGAAAAATAAGAAAGGAGATGAAGCAGAATTAGTCAAAGCTCGTGCTACGCACGATGTCCTTAAAACGTATTTGTCGCCTCCCACGGTGCTAGGAGCATTGCAACAATCGTTTCCCAGGATACGATGACTACGAACTAATGTTTGAGCACACAAACAAGAGTTCCAGCGAACGAGAACCAAGTATGAACACAGAAGGAATTTGCAGACTAGCTGTAGGTGTTTTTAGCTTAAGAAATTCGTGAGGAATGTATTGTGCGTTGTCAAACCGTGTGTTTGTTGCAAACCACCTGCCAACCTTTTATAGGAGGATTTGTTGTGTGTTAAGTGGGGTGTTAATGGACCTGAACGTTGGACATCAATGACCAGTCCGTTGGGCATTGAATCATCCATAAACTGTCCATTTAACGCTGCATTAAAAGACAAGAACGTTGGGCATTTAGTGGCTGTAACGGCTTGGAGCAGTTCTGGTGCGCGATCAGAATACCTCCGTCAGAGTTGGAGCAGTTCTGACGCGCGATCAGAATACCCCCATCAGAGTTGGAGCAACTCTGATGCTACCAGAAGACCTCCACCAGAGTTGGAGCAACTCTGATGCGAAGCCACCAGAGTTCGAGCAACTCTGGTCCGAAGCCACCAGAATTCGAGCAACTCTGATCCGAAGCCACCAGAGTTCGAGCAACTCTGATCCTGGGAAAAAATAAAACGTTACGGGAAGAAACAAAAATTAGACCGTATCTTTGAATGATAGGTTTTCGGACGACATTCGTGTCGTCAGGTCGCCCGCGCACACGAGTCGCGGTTTTTCTTCTCCGTTTCGGGATTTGATCGGCACCCCCCCTGCGCGTAAGAGAGAGCCTTTACCCTTAGGAATCTTAACTCCTTAAAAGAGGCTTCCCTTTATAAGGGGGTGAAAATCCCTTGAGTTTTTTGGTGTGTGATAAAACACACTAGAAACCCATCATTTTCCCAGTTTTTCCATTTCAACGAGTGAACTTCGAGAATCAATTTCTCATTCACCCGTTATCCGTTTTGAGTGTACCACATATCGAATTGTAGCCCTTAACAAGGACAATCCGAACCACTTTGACCCGACCCAAATCGGAAGTGGAACCCACTAAAATAATTGCCCCAAAATGACCATTTAATGCAATTTTTAACACATTTTTCCAACAATCCCCCACATGAATGAAAATTGATTTTCGAGACTTAAAAAGACACGAAGATAGGAGGACACATTGTGTTCACCGGATGATCCTTGCATACGGAGAGGTAGGTTTTATCCTTTGAACCTTCCGTTGTAGAGACACGTTTATTTACTGGCTGTCTAGTAGACTCGATGTCCTTGAACTATACTGCCGTCGTGTAAACATTGACTTATCTTTACACAAGAACCTTCCAACTTTGTTCCGTTCTCATGGGTGTGCCCGTTTTGGCCATGGGTCACCGTCCTGGTTCTGCAAGAGATTCTAAAGAACGGAGCCTTTACAGTTCTCCTTTGAAGCGGCCATCTTCTCTCTCACATAGGTGATTCTTTCACG